ATGTTAATCACCCCGTGTAATGGCAGCCATTAAGGGCAGACGCTACGCTTCCCTATTAGCATGAACAAGGGAGACTAGAGAGGCACAGTTAGCTGTGTAAGCAGCATTATTCACCAACCTCCGAATGACCCGAGCCGTGGGAAGTTGTGCAGTTTGGTAAAGAGTCAAATTAAGATGTGGAATTAATTTAACACATCAGCATGGTGGTACAAAATGTCGTTTCCGCTGGTGTTTTCAGATCAGCCTTTCATCTCTTACGCATCAGTAAAATGTTTCATCTCATTTAAGCGGTTCAAACGCAGTGCATAGATGTTCTGATTCATCAGCCGTTACGTTTCATCAGTAGAATGAATATATGGCTGTTTTTGGAACAAAACGTGGTAACTCCAAAATGAGAACTTTACAGGAGAAGGAAAAACCTTCTCTACTTTTAATGTAAGTCAATGGAACCAGAGTTTTTTCCAGGTCATTTTGGATCATTTCTTTGGGTCCATTCATCATAAAATGTACACACAATGTAAAGAGCAACAAGCATTTTCAAATTAGGTCAAAAACTGAAAAATGAAAAAATGGAGATACAAAGTTTTGTCCGACCATGGTTTACAGAAACGCCTCTTCTTACATTTTAGACATTTCCAACTCATATTTCTTTAAAACAAGTGAAGAAAGTGTATGCTGTGTGTGCAGTCTTGTTTTTTTATTGTTGATACAGAATGTACACTGAATTTTAATGCATTTTCACATAATTAACTGTATGAATAATTACAGTATTGTGCAAAAGTCAGAGACCACCTTCATTTATTTTCCAGTCAAAACAGTCTTTAAGGAGATACACCAGTCTTTGTTTCTACACTCATTGTCCATTTCCACTGACCATATAGGAGGGGGATCTATTATTATGTGGGTGGAGTTTTCAAACACCTCAGTGTCGCTGCTGGACTGAGAACCAAAAATATCCAGCCAACATCTGTCTGTTGTAATAAGAGTAGATCCCTTTCACAGATGCTCTGATTGGCCCCTGTCTGTTGGAATAAGAGGAGATCCCTTTCACAGATGCTCTGATTGGCCCCTGTCTGTTGGAATAAGAGGAGATCCCATTCACAGATGCTCTGATTTGGCCTCTATCTTTTGTAATTAGAGCAGATCCTGTTCAGAGACACTCTGATTGGCCTCTATCTGTTGAAATAAGAATAGATCTGATTCACAGACAAACTGATTTGACCGCTATCTGTTGGAATAAGAGTAGATTCCTTTCACAGATGCTCTGATTTCACCTCTGTCTATTGAAATAAGAGTGGATCCCTGTTCACAGACGCTCTGTTTGGCCTCTATCTGTTGGAATAAGAGTAGATCCCTTTCACAGATGCTCTGATTTGGCCTCTGTCTGTTGAAATAGGAATAGATCTGATTCACAGACGCTCTGTTTGGCCTATGATTTGAAATCGCAGTAGATATAGTCTGTAGGCAAAAACATTGGCTGTGCTCTACCGTTTACATTCAAGTACTAGCGCTGAGTATGTCTCTGGCATTAATATGTCACATGGTCCTTTATTCAGGGAACTGCAGATGAGCAGCCAGTCTGACTCCTCACTGTTCATTTAAAAACAAAACACACAGGACAAGAATGGGTCCTGTCTCAGTCCCAGTGCTTGTCAGCTCTAATTCATGGCTTCAAATATTAAAGCAGTTGCTCAGTTATACACAAAAGTATAGACAAAATTCAGGCTCAGTCTTATGATTTAGGCATACTGTTAGCACTGTGCTAATTGGTGGGCTATAAACTTCCATTACTTATTAGTTACATTGGCCTTGTGGCTATTGTGTGTGTCTGTGTGTGTGTGTGTGTGTGTGTGTGTGTGTGTGTGTGAGAGAGAGAGAGAGAGAGAGAGAGAGAGGCACAGAGAGAGGCCTTAGTAAGTCTGCTTACATTGCCTTCAGAATTTGTTTGTGCAGTACAAAGCCATGGCCACAGGGTGGCAGCACTGATCTACAATAGAATGTAGAAACAATTTAACAGTTGTGTCTTCACAGGGACAAATAATATATGTATATATACGCACACAATATGTATATACACCGATCAGGCATAAGATTATGACCCCCTCCTTGTTTCTACGCTCATTGTCCATTTTATCAGCTCCACTTACTATATAGGTGCACTTTGTAGTTCTACAGTTACAGACTGTAGTCCATCTGTTACTCTGCATACTTTGTTAGCCCCCTTTTGCCCTGTTCTTCAGTGGTCAGGACCCCCATGGACCCTCACAGAGCAGGTACTATTTGGGTGGTGGATCATTCTCAGCACTGCAGTAACACTGATGTGGTGGTGGTGTGTCAGTGTGTGTTGTGCTGGTCTGAGTGGATCAGACACAGCAGTGCTGCTATATATATATATATATATATATATATATATATATATATATATATATATATATATATACATAGATATATACATATTTTAAGTATAAGAAATTGAAGAGTAAATTAGAATTCAGCGCAGGTTAAAGTTGAGAGGCTGTTGCAGTTCCACAGTGGTACAGCAGAGGGTGCCAAAGCATCACTTTTAATTCCAGTAAGTTTTCAGCCCTTCATAATGAAGTTCTGTAAACTTTCCGCATAGATGTGATGCATCGCAGTTCACAGCCTGAATCTGAGAAACAGGTGATTTATTCTACATTTTCAGTCATAACTGAAGACATTAAACATTAGACAGTTAGAAGAACAGGCAAGAAATTCACTATGTGTGCAAAAGTATCCAGACAGCCCAAAAATGAATTTTCATACATTCTTTCTGTTTCAACATCATTGATCATAATTGTACCTTGATTTTTGATTTGACAGTTACCAAATATTGTCAACTTTGTTTTACTTAAAAGACGTTTTACTTACTAAAAACTTTCAGTTCCATTTCCTCTGTATTCAGAAGCCGTTCCAAACCTTTCCCCGACCAATATAAATTAGTGTCATCAGCAAATAAGACACATTTTAACAATTTAGACACTTTAGAACTATCTTTTTATTGTTTATATACCGTATAAATAATTTAGGTCCTAGCACTGAACCTTGTGGAACCCCAAATGTAACCTTCAACAAATCAGATGTGACATACATATTGATATCTTTCATCAAGGTAACTTTTAATATCATATCTCTCCATTTCTTTCACTAATAAGCCATAATCAATAGTACCAAATGCTGTTTTTAAGTCTATAAACACCCACACAGTGTATTCCTTGTTGTCTATTGCTGTAGGTATCTCTCCTACCAATTGCATCACTGCCATTGAGGTGGACCTCAGTACTGGTGGTCCCTCAATAAATTGTGTTAAATTTGCCTGACCTCACTAATGATTTTGTGGCTGAATGCAATCAAATCCTCATAGCAGTGTTCCAACATGTGTAAAGCCTTCCCAGAAGAGTAGAGGCTGTTACTGCAGTACAAACTCACTATTAACACCTTCATTTCAGAAGAAACGCTGGTAGAGTTTTTCAGACAGAAGGTGTAAAAGTGATGATATTTATTTTTATAATTTTAAGCAATTAGAAAAATACAAAAATACAGAACATAAATATATAGTTAAGTATAATTAGGTCATATTTTGAAACTCCATCATGAAAATTTCTACATTAGTAAATAGTTGAGATGTAAACAGAGTCGTTCAGAGTGCTTTGGTGTGAAACGCTCTGTTCTAGAGAAACTTACCGAGTCAGAACTGTTCACAGTGGTGGTTCTATATGGAACCATTTTCTATACTAAAAAATCCTTGAAGAACCATCTTTTTTAAAGAGCGTATAGAACCACATACATCACATTCTCCGTAAATCTGAAGAACAACTTCACCATGAAAAGAACCCTTTAATCATGCAAAGGGACAGATCTGTTACTAAATCCACCAGTTTAAAAAAGTCAAACCAGCTCAATAGAAAGGTACACACCTAAAATCAAGGGCTCCTAAATGGTTCTTGGCCTGGATGTATGGTTCCAGGAGAGACTTGGTATAATGTGAAGGTTCTTCAAACTCATTTAAAATGATTCTTTCAGAAAAAAGAACCGTTTTGAACTGTTGAACTGTTCTTTAGAGCAGGGGTTCCCAATTTCAGTCCTGGTGATCCAACACTGAGCCCATTTTGGCCGGGTCGGGTATGAGGAGTAGGAAAAAAGGAGCAAAGGGTCACGAAGACTGGGATTGGAACCCCTGATTTAAGGAAGAAAAGTGGTTGTTTTATAGTTTCTCACCAAAGAACCTTTCATTTTTAAGAACGTATGGAACGCTTATCGTACAATCACTCCCTTTGGGCTTAAATTAATCAGCAAACCCTGCTGTGATGGAGGACTGAACATTTAGTTTAGTTTAGTTTTAGTCTTTAAGGGGTGTCCAACTGTTTCTCTAAATTCTGTGCATAATTTAGTGGTTAAGATGTAATCAGAGTGGTTCAGAGTGGTTTGGTGTGAAACGCTCCGTTCTAGATAAACTTACCGAGTCAGAACTGTTCACAGTGGTGGTGATAGGAACCAGACGTCCACCTCTAAAAGCTCCCTACAGAAAGTTCCTACATGAAGTGGTTATGAATTCACTGCCTGATGACTGAGACACTGTTTTATGATAGTTTTGGCCTAAAAATTATATATTTTAAAAAACATTAGTAAGTTCATGTAGGTTCACTGGTGGTTCTGGATAGTAAATAAAATGTCTATATTTGTGTTGTAGTCATGGCGACCCCTGGTTCCTATCACCACCACTGTAAAGACATCTGAACAATTTCACACCAAACCACTCTGAATCTCTCTGATTACACCTCAAACACTCAATTACACAGAAATGTTTGATAAATTGTTGAAACCTCTAATGTAAATGTTCATATCCAGCTGACAGTGACCTGAGCAGTGTTTGTGTCTGAAGGCTCTTCTTCGCTTTGTTCCTTCCTGTAACAGGTAGTCAGGTTCAGATCGTATTACAGAAAGGAATGTGCCACCTCTGTGGAGGCTGATCCTTAGGAGAGAAGAGGAGGAGCTGAGAGAGACACGGTCACGTCAGCTGAGCTCCAGCTCCTTCACCATTTCCTGTAGTGTGGATTGACTGTCAGTAACAATCAGCCACTTCTCTGTGAGAGTGAAGGACCTGCGCTCCTCTTCACGATGGTAAGAGCTTCTCTCTTCCTCTCTGTCTGTGTAAAACCCTGAAAAAGGCTTTTTAAAGGCCTGAGTCTGCTGTGTTTTCTCTGACCGGTCGGTCTGTTTGGCTCAGGAGGACTTTGAATTGACCTGTAGGTGCCTCTGTAGGTGTGTTTGCATGTGAGTGAGTGAGTGAGTGAGTGAGTGAGTGAGTGCCAGTAGATTTACATATAAGTGCACACCACTGGTTTTGATTGTTGGTTTCGTTTGTTTTGATTGTGCCCTGCAGTTACACCGATCAGGATTTCTCACTTTAGCCAGAGGACTCAGGCCAAGCTTGTCCAATAAGAAAACACAATTAGGTAATCTACCACTGTGGGATTAAATCATCAGTCTAACTGTGAAATACACCCTTTGGGTTTGGGTGATTTCACAAAAGCAGGATTTTCTGGATTTTCTCTCTCAGCCAGTGAACTTAAACACAGATTTAAACCTGTCTAATAAAAGCAGAAGTTGAGACTTTTTTTATTTTGTGAAATATCCTCCTCAGTAAAGCTGGATAATTTAAGACCAGACTGAACAAAGTAAAAATAATCCAACAGAGATATGCTGCTTATTGGACAAGCTTGACTTTGGGCTTAATTTATCTTGATAAATCGAGAAAAGTGTTTATGAAATACACTCAGTCTTCAGTTAGTTTTTCAGAAAATGTTTGCTCCTCCATCGCAAAGCAGGATTTTCAATAAAAAAGCTATGAATTTAAGCCCAAAGTGATCAAAAAGAGGAAAATCGAACAGAATTATGCCTGCTAATTTGGACAAGCTTGACTTTTGGCTTAATTTATCAAGCTAAGCTAAGAAAATATTTGTGAAATACACTCAGTCTTCAGTTAGTTGTTCAAAAAATTGTTCATTGCTCCATCACAAAGCAGTCATTTCCAATAAAAACTAATAATTTAAGCCCAAAAATTGAGTATTGCGGAGTAAGGGGTCTGGTGAAATGATCAAGTTTACTGAAAAATCCTACATTTCAAAGCATCCCAGTTAGATTCAACAAGCTAAATATGGGCATCTGGTATGTTAGACTAAAGGGGGAATTCCACTAATTTTTCAAAACTGCTGCATAATCCAGTGTTTGAGAGTCATTCAGAGTGGTTCGGTGAGAAATGTTTCAGATGTCTTTACAGCGGTGGTGATAGGAATCAGGGGTCGCCATGACTACAACACAAATATAGACATTTTATTTACTGTTTTGTTATTGAAGAATATGTAGAAAGCATTGCACATACAGGCACATGCTCTTTGATTGAACATGCACTTCAAGAGGCAGCAAGAAACAGCCAGCCCAGCAGTACTGCAGACGGCCGGGACGTCTAACCACTCAATTTCTCTTTACGGTAGAGACACAGACTCACAGCCCAACACAGAATAACACAAACAACACAAACACGTCTCAACTAGAACAACAGTAACAGCAACCAAGTCTTTCCTTCACCGGGAGTGCGACGCATTCCAGGAGCCACTCTACATGGCCATACCTGCCAAGCTCCCCACAGCAGCTCAGGCATACACTACCCAAAACCACCAGTGAACCTACACGAGTCTTCTGAGTTTATATGGAATGTTGATGATGGAAAATAGTGGAAAATCTGAAATAATAAGTTTTCTTTGGGGACTATTTTGCCTCACAGCGCCCTGCATGTTTAAGTTCTCAAAACTATCATAAAAACAGTGTCTCAGTCATCAGGCAGTGAATTCATAACCATTTCATGTAGGAACTTTCTGTAGGGAGCTTTTAGAGGTGGACGTCTGGTTCCTATCACCACCACTGTGAACAGTTCTGACTCGGTAAGTTTATCTAGAACAGAACGTTTCACACCAAACCACTCTGAACGACTCTGTTTACATCTTAACCATTTAATTTTGCATAGAATTTAGAAAAACAGTTGGACACCCCTTTAAGACTAAAACTAAACTGGTAGATTTGGCAGCGCAACATGAGGCCGAGGAATAATCCCCTTCAATTAGTTTAATTTCTCAAAATGTTAAAATATTTTTGGATTAAAAATGCTTTGTTTTTGCTATATTTGGCAAAACATACAAGTAAAAGATAATATACAAACATAGACGTAATTTATTTATTATTCATAGATTAAAATTACTAGACGAGGAATTTTGTTTCAAGCCTTAAAGTGGTAGTTTAGCCAAAAATTGAGTCATCCAGTTTCCCCATAACATCAGATGTGATCAATCAAAGTTTTCTGCTTTAGTTTTACTCGGGAGCTATGAGGCTAAAGCTCTGGGGTTATTTCAGTAAGCAGGATTTTCTGGGTTTTCTTGATTAGCAATTTAAACCCAAATTCAAGCCTGTCCAAAAGGAGCTGTGATAAGAGCCATTTCAAAAAGCAGAGCTGACCGCAGTGCGGCTCTCGAGCCAAACTGGGCCTGTGAGGATGTTTTGTTTAGCCCACTGAAAATTTATCTTCACCAGAACTTATTTTATGTTATAAATGTTACTGAATTAGTTCAAAACTGCAGTCTCACAATAAAAAATAAATAAATGAGGTATTCAGGCCTTAGATATTTACAAGGATTATGTTCTGATCTATTTAAACCCAATACATTAATTGTGAATTGAAAAGTGAATTATTATTTTTTTTTTAATCAAAAAATATTTTAGCCACGCCCCTGCATTTTAGAGCAGGAAGTGAGACTATACTGTTCATGGTATAGAACCATGAACAGTCAAATGACCACATTAGATTTGTGAACATTTTAGATTTGCATGACTAAAGCGTTCTTTGCATGGTGAAAATGTTGATGGAGCATGTGATGTATATGGTTCTGTAGAGAACCTTTTTGAAAAGGGTTCTATATAGCACCAAAAAGGGGTTGTAGCACGGCATGTGCTACCCCGGGCTCAAGGAGGACGCTGGAGGCAGGGTTCACAGTTGCAGCCATATCTTTATTTACCCACAAAATAAACACAATTCAAAACCACCAAACTATGCTGGCCACTTTTCAGTGGCTTAAGCTGGCTAGACTTTTCAGTCTCTCACACTCAAGCTTTTCAGCTCTTCAGTCTCTCGCTGCTGCCCCCCGCCCCCCCCTCTCTCTGTTCCCTCTCAGCTCTTCACGCTGGCAGCCAGACCAGAACGAGAGCTCGCTGCTCCGCCTCCTCGTCACCGCCCCCAGCTCGCAGCTCAGCCGCCTGGGTCGAACGTGAGGTGTAGTGGAGCGGCCTTTGCGCTCCGCCCCCTCCCCACTCGCAGCTCTCTCCCTGCCGTCCTGGCCGAGGGTGTTCAGGCCCGCCTTCCTGCCGGCTCTCGCAGCCGTCATCGTCGGGGCCCGGGGGCGGGCGCATGCCACAGGGGTCTTCTATTGTTATAAGCTTGACATTCTCCATCAATATGAAGAACCATTTCACCATGCAAAGAACTCTTTAATCAAAGTGTTCTTTGAGTGTTCATGGTTCTATATATAATGACTTTCTTTACTAAAGAACCCTTGAAGAACCATATTTTGTAAGTGTGTGGCTCTAGTGCTATAACTGAAGATGGGAACGGTTAAATCAGTTCAGCTGCAGTGATGCTGGATCAGGGCTTGATCCACATGCCTGTCCACTGAGTTCCGTTGTGTCTTTGTTTCTGTGTGCTGCTGGTCAGAAAGCAGAATGAAAGTTTTTCTAACAGTTTCTGTTTAGTTAGTCACAGGAAACCAACTCCTGATTCTGACTCTTCTTTCAGCCCGTGCCTCTTGGCTGGAGGTAAAGGGGAAACCAAGTGACATCAACAATTAACAGTAGTCGCCATCCTGAAGTTAGGAACGGAGAGTATTGATAAAATTCAGTGTCAAAAAATTTTAGCTTAGATTAAGTGACCCTTATTAGTCCCACAAGGGGGAAGTTTCACCTCTGCATTTTGACTCATCCATGCCGTGAAACACCACATACACACTAGTGCACACACACACACACACACACACACACACACACTAGGAGGCAGTGAGTACACAGCCCTATCCGCAGCACCCAGGGAGGAGTTGGGGGTTAGGATTCTTGTTCAAGGGCACTTGAGTCACGTACTTTCGGCTCAGGGGATCGAGCTGGCGACCTTCCGGTCACAGGGCTGGTTCCCTAACCTCCAGCCCGTGACTGCCCCAGCCCGTGACTGCCCCAGCCCGTGACTGCCCCCAGCCCATGACATCAGTTTAAAATGATATTAATGTTAGCGTTTACATTTCCAGCATCCAGAGTAACTTACAAGAAGTGCTTTGTATATCCAGAGAACGTATCTTTGCTAGTTACAATTAGGTTAGAGAGAAAGCCGGTCCTGAGCTCATCTCATGTTGATACCCAGAGAAAAGTCTAGATGCTTGTCTTCCGTGCATCTTAAAGGATGGCGGGTCGAGCCGAGCTGTACTCGAAGCTTGAAGGGCTCGAGATCCAGTTCGAGTTTTGACCATTGCCATCAGGAAGGGAGGGGCTGGTCTGTTTTTGGCTTTGTAAGCATCAGGGTTTTAAACCTGATGCAGCTACAGGAAGCCAGTGAAGGGAGCGCAGCAGTGGAGTTGAATGAAGTTAATAAGTTATCATTAATAAAGTTCATGAGTTAGTATTAATAAAGTTAATTTTTATTAAAGTTTGTTTGTTTGTACAAGATGGTACAGTAAATACAAACAAAAAAGAGTGTGTGTGCGGGGAAAGTAAAAAAGCCCAGGAAGAGCTTGTACGAAGTACTTTTCCTTAAGGAAAAACAAAGGTTACTAAATTTAATTTAATAAAACAAACAGACAAAATCACAAAAACACTAACACACAGTTAAAGTGACAGTAGATGAGTTTTAACCTGTTTTTGAAAGCTAATTAGATGATAGTTCCAGATTAAAGACCCTCAACGAGAAAGCTTAAACTGTCCAATTGACGTCCTAAAAAGCTGATCTTGTGGAATTCTTGGAATGTGTGAATTCTTGATCCTCAGTGCTGCTGCTCTGTACTGAGACTGTCTTACTAATCTGTTCTGATTGGACT